ATATGAGAAGTATGTAAATATTATACTATCATAATACGCGCGTAGGTCAGGCAGAGTGAGGGTTTACGGCAATCTGTCGTCACCCTTCAATTTTTCCATCGGCGTGAGACAAGGATGCTAGCTGTCACCTTTACATTTCATTTTAGCTACTGCCGAAGTCATGGAAATCGCGTTTACAGGACACGACTTAGAAAGTGTGGATCTGCTCCCAGGAGAAGGACTTCTTGACTCGAAGTTCACTGACGATATTGCCCTAATCTATGACAGTTCCCAGACGTGCCAAGCGGCACTGGACAGATTAGCACTAACTGTCAGCCGCTTCGGGCTTTGCTTTGCATCAACGAACTGCAAAGTGTTTCTCCAAGATTGGCCTGAACAGCCTCCTTCGCTGACCCTTGGTGGGGATCAGCTAGAAGTCGTTCGACAGCTCAATTACCTTAGAAGTTGTATCAGGGTACTTTGGATCGAAGATGAGATCACGCAACCTATAGCAAAAGCTCGAGGCGCTTTTGCTAACCTTCGCCACTTATGGCGCCGGCGCGACATCACTCTTGCCCTGAAGGGTAGGGTGTACGATGCAGCAGAACGTTCAACGCTACTGTACGGTTGTGAAACCTGGCACCTTTGATCAGCGGACGTAAAGATCCTAGTTACGATCGGCCACCTTTGCATTCGCAAGTTACCACACATCTGGTGGGAACACCATGTGAGCAACGAGCGTGTTCGACGTCTTGTTTACGGCACCGGAAAATGAAAAGCACCGCTCAGTTCCGTTATTTCACGCACCAGGCTCCGATGGCTCGGCCACGTATTACGCATGCCAACCTACCGACTCCCGCGACTTACGTTGTTTGCTCCTCCGGGTGTGGATGGAAGAAGAGGCGTGTTGGCCAAGCGATGACTTGGTCGAGAGGAATGAGGGCCCTAACTTCGAAGCTGGCCTCAGTTGGAGCGTCTCGGCTCCCTAGTTGGGTCGGAAAGACAATGAACACGTTTGGTTGGATACGCTTGTTGATATGGCTAGAAGCCGACCTCAGTGGCGTTCGTGCTGTGATTTACTTAGTCTCCCCCTCCAACCACGATCTCATTAGTTACCAATTTGTAATTTAGCGTAGTAAATTATTTTTTATCCCGCATAATATCCGGCTGTTAGCTTACCGGAACGATGCCCGTCCATTACCAGTAGCTTAGCTGGCTTGCACCGGTGACATTTTATTCCCTTCTTTCCTTTATGTATTGTGGTACAGTAGCTGAGGAGCTTCCCACGTCTAGCTAACGTGAATAGTGTGTGTGTAGTCTGTCAGGCAGTTGTAAGCCTCAGTCTGACTAGCGTTGTGGTCAAGCGGCTTGAAAAGTTGGGGAGATTTTTGAACTGTTACCTGAATAGATTATATCTGCTCAGTAGTGCACAACACGGATTCCGGAAGGCGTTGTTATCCGGGAAAGGTGAATCATAAAGGAAAACCATGATTTTAGCAATGAATGGATTATCTTCGATCGTGCATTGATTTCGAAGATTCCGGAACCTTCCATTCCTTCACGTGATCGCCAGCATACGGAGTTTTGACATCGAGGTTACTAATCTTAGCAGCTGACCTTCGTTTTCTAAAAGCCGTAGGCATTGAGCCCCTATAGATTTTGGAGTAAGACGGGCTTATTGGTACATTGTTTTGACAGCAAATTTAGCTACCTTTGCAGCGTTTTTGTTAACCCGTTTTTCGTGGTCAAGGTCGTTGTACGTTTGCTTTTTCTTCGGCTGGACTAGAATATTTGAGGTGCGAAATTTTTGGGTGTTTTATTCGAAATCGCGAGAAAATGTAAAGATCTAACGATGGCGACGGACAAGCAAGAAAATGCTAATCATTTATGCCGAACTTTTCACAATCTGCTTCTTCAGCAAGGATCACAGATGGAAGCACAAATAAAGCTGATTAATATTTGCCTCAGTGCTTGAACCGACAGTCAAACGGAGCAGCTACACATGACACGCAAGCTGTTTTACTTGATCATCTAACGAATGCAATCTATGAATTTCATTATGCTACGGATCCCGAATGCACATTCAAGGCGTGGTTCAAACGTTGGGAGGACGTGTTGCGAACGGATTCCGGCCGTCAAGATGATTCATGGTAAGTGCGCCTCTTGTTCCGTGAGCTCGGTACTAATGAACACACAAGTTTTGTTCACCACATCCTTATCAAAGAGCCGTAGGACATCCACTGCAACGAAGCAGTGGCACCCTTAAAAATGTTTTGGTGAGTCGACGTCTTTGTTTAGCAATCGCTACTAATGCCTAAATATTGTTAAGCGTGATACAGATTATGGGGCATTAGCAGACATGGTTAAACGTGAATGTGAACGTTGCAAGTTACGCTGCTTGACGGATGACCAGTTTAAGTGTCTCATATTTGTCAGTGCTTTACAAGCTCCACGCGACGCGGAAATCCGCACACGGCTTTTTGCTAAGTTGGATCAAGATCCAGATTTGACCTTGAAGTCTCTTGTAGGCGAATGCAAACGTTTGCTTACTTTGGAACACGACACCGCTAGGATTGAGCAGAGTCGCTTCAGCCTTGCCGAGACTGTTCATGCTGGGCAAAATCAAGGAAGGCTGGCTCGTTCTAGCCGTTCAATGGAACGCCGAACAAGTCGCCCACACCTTGTTGATCATGTGGTGGATGGCATTTCGCAAGATACTGTCCATTCAAGCGTACCATTTGTGATAAGTGTCAGCAACGCTTCCGCAAGGAAAACGTTTGTCATCAGTCCCGGCCAAGAAACTTGAAGCAGTCTTACCGAAGGAAGAACTTCTGGAAGCCTGAGGCAGAAAAGCTATCTGTGATTGCCACTTTCACAGCGATTCTAGAGCACGCCGCCAATTTATCACTGTGCTTATCAACGGAATCCCAACCCGGCTGCCATTCAATACGACATCAGCTATAACGATCATTTCCAAGAACCCTTGGAAGCACATAAAGAAGCCGAGGATGGTTGATACCATCAACGTCGCCCACAACGTATCCGGTGGAGTGCTGATGCTAATCGAAGAAATAACTTGCAAAACTGCATTCAGGGGAGTGGAACAGGCCGGAACCTACTACTTGTCCGACCGACCAAACTTGAACCTCCTTGGGCTTGACGATGGAAAAATTACAACTGTTTGATGTTCCGATGAGTCAGATTTGCAATAGAGTTCAAACCGACCCAGTCCATGCATCATTGTCGATAGAAGACATGACAAGAAAAATAAAGCAGTAGTTTGCTGCCTTGTTTGAAAATGGTCTCGGCTACTGCACTAAGTGCAAAGCAAAGTTATGACTTCGCAAAGAAC